ATGCCACCGAAGTCACATAGCACCAGCCTATTATTATTATTATTATTATTATATCATTCATCTGTAAATAAGTAAATACTAAAATCATGTGCAATGTGCAATACTTTAACTTCAGACTGTCCCCTGAACAATGTCACTTTTTCTACTTATTATCCTGCACTATATGTACAGTATATAACGCCATACAATCTATAACTACATACATATACTGTATATACATTGGAAAGACTGGTATTGAAGCATTTACTGCTAGCTAAGAAACATAGCTACTACTTATTTTGTATATTTGTGTGCTCTTACTACTGTCCTGTATGTGCGCTGCAACATTGAAATTTCCCCACTGTGGCATGAATAAAGGATCTCTTATCTTATGGGGCGACAGTAGCTCATCGGCTCCCACTGATGTCTGCTGTCGTTGTGTCCCTAGGCAAGACACGTTGTCTGAAGCCCCCGCTGAAAGATAAAGGCCAATGTCTTCAATGACAGACAAGCCATCTTTCCGTGGACCCACCACCTGCAGGAGGATCAGCGAGGGACTGGTGCCATGTGACTTGGGTAGCAGCTCTGATTGCCAACCCCCACCGACCCAGAAATGGACCAATAAAAGGGCAGACGATGACATCACATCACATCTTATCTTATTACATTTCCTGAGTTTGAACTGTTTGATTCTCTTCAATTCAATACGTTTGCCGTCGTACTTTGAGACGTCTGCAAACATATTGAATTGGAATGAAGCTCGTAAAAACACACTTCACATACGCTCTCCTCTCCTTCGTCATTACCTTAGACTAAGCATGTTTACTTTCTCTGAGTTCTGGGAGAGTTAGAGCTGGCTGTGCTCTAAGATCCAGCCTACATGGAGTAAGTGAGAGCTCGGCTTTGGCCCCCGTGCTGCTGCAGTAATCTAAAATAGCCCTCTCCGTGCACCGCAGTACCTCCGAGCGTTCCCCAGGGGGCCCTCCCCACGCCCACTGCACCGCTCACCGAAGAGGAGGAGGAGAGAAGAAGAAGTCCGCTCATTAATCATGTGACGCTGCTGGAGACGGCTACGAAAAACTAACATCTGCTGAAGGCTACGCTAACGGGGCTAACGGGTGGATTTGATCTGGACTGAAACGTGACCAGGAGGAAATTGATTAGACTCAGACTAATTTCATTTGCCATTTGCAGTAAAACCACATTGGAATAACTGTGCAAGAGTCCCCAGTGTGCGCCAGGAATGTGCAGAAATCAGACAAGCTAAAAAGTACAGGAATAAAGCCATAAAACAAATATATACACTGCAAAAAGTGATGAAAATTAAGTTTAAAAAATGCTCAAATTTGGATAATCGTATTGTAATATAAATAATATTGAAACATAAATGTAAACACTATAATATAGTGAATTGCAGCTATAAAAGCAGTCGTCAAAAACAAGTATTTAAGCCTATTCTATCCTACATCATCAGTTTGTTTTAAGCTTTACTGTCTATGTATTGTACGCCATAATAATACATAATACATATTTGAAACTAAAGAGAAGTTTTAAATTGTAAAAAAGAAGTACATTTCTTCAAAGATTCTGATAATTCATTCCATAATTTCACTCTGAGAACATACATTTCATATTAACATTGAGTCTTTGTTGCTCAGACGCTAAATCTGTCAATAACAAAACACAAAGAACAAAAAGTAACTCCTTGTGTCTCATTTTTAAAGTATTTGATTTTCTGATCTACTGTTGGCGAATCCACAACTTTATAAAGTACTTTTGAGAACAGACATTTCACATTAACCTTGAGAATGTGTTTGCATTTGTCTCTGTACTTTTACTATGTTTATTAAACTCTTGGGAAACTTTGGTAGAATTTGAAAATCTAACAAACTCCTCTCTCTCTCCACATTAAACGCAGAATATTCATGTGATATCGTAGGTGATGTCACACGCGGACTGCTTCAAAGTCCTTCCCATTAGCTTCTGCGGCGCTGGGACCGTGGTAATGACGGTGGTTTACGTAACACAACCAGGACACGCTTTCATTAAGACGTTTTTGCTAATTAACCACATGTTCCCAACCCCTTTTTTCTCCAATTCTGGCTGTGATCTTTCCAGGAGTAAGGACCAGGGAGGAGAAACTCTACTGCGGTATTTTGATCACGGCTGTAAGCCAAAGGTTCAGGGTTCAGTAGGTTAAGAGAGAGAGAGAGAGGTCTGAGATTTAGTTTAAAGATGGAGATTGTTCTACTTTCAGGAGGTAGACAGGTCCCAGCAGGTATCTCCTTCTTTCTAATCCAACAATTTTAGCTTGAGAGAGACAAGAGAGAGAGACAAGAAAGAGAGCCAGAGAGAGACAAGAGAGAGAGAGACAAGAGAGAGAGACCAGAGAGAGACCAAAGAGAGACAAGCTGGAGGAAGAAGAGAGAGACTAGAAACCATAGAAAGACCAGACGGAAACCAGAGAGAGAACAGAGAGAGACAAGAGAGAGACCAGAGAGAGAACAGAGAGAGAACAGAGAGAGAACAGAGACAGACAAGAGAGAGACCAGAGAGAGAACAGAGAGATAAGAGAGAGACCAGGGAGAGAACAGAGAGAGACCAGAGAGAGAACAGAGAGACAAGAGAGAGAACAGAGAGAGACAAGAGAGAGACCAGAGAGAGACCAGAGAGACAAGAAAGAGACCAGAGAGAGAACAGAGAGAGAGAGACAAGAGAGAGAAAGACAAGAGAGAGAAAGACAAGAGAGAGAACAGAGAGCGCTGTCTATGTTAAAGCTGGAGTGTGTAACTTTCAACCCACAAGCAATGAAACTGTCATAAACCTGTCACTGGTTTTTCACAAAAATGCCTTTTTGGTCATTGTCACATTTTTAGATAAGTAAAAAAAAAGTGAGAAATGGAGGACCACCCTCTCTCTCTCTCTCTCAGCCAATCAGCTCTCAACCTGAAGCTAATAAAAGAAGGCGTCCATGTTTTGGTCTGACCTTAACCCTAACCCTTGTCAATATGAACTGATCTGAAAAGCTAACTTAAAATCTAAAGTTTTCACAGCCATTTCCCACCAAACTGGAACCATACAAACACCCACACCTCCCTCTAGTGGCTGGAGACTAGACCACATCCACTGGTTTCATTACAATAACGTCCTTCACTTTTCTTGTGTTTGCCGTTCACTCGCTCCTGAACCCTCCTGGCTGTGAGCACCATCTACTTCCCTCCGTCACGGTGCATTAGTCCGTTCGCGGTCCTCCTCACTCCACAACACCGAACGTCCTACTTTCAGAAGGTAGACAGCCCCCAGCAGGTCTCTCCTTCTTTCTAATCTCGTATTTTTAGCTCGCTCTCAATCTCCTTTGTGTTTTGGTGAGAGACCAGAGAAAGACCGGAGAGAGACCAGAGAGAGACAAGAAAGAGAGACCAGAGAGAGAGGCAAGAGAGACCAGAGAAAGACTGGAGAGAAACAAGAGTGCGAGACAAGAGAGAAACCAGCGAGAGAGAGAGCAGAGAGAGAGATGAGAGAGAGACCAGAGTGAGACCAGAGAGTGAGAACAGGGAGACACCAGATAGAGAGACTATATTGAGTCCAGAGAGTCCCCTCGTCTGAAAGTGAGACCAGAGAGAGACCAGAGAGAGAGACCCAGAGAGAGAGAGCAGAGAGAGAGAGCAGAGAAAAAGACCAGAGAGACCAGACAGCGAGACCAGGGAGACACCAGATAGAGAGACTATATTGAGTCCAGAGAGAAAGTCCAGCAAGACTTCCCCTCGTCTGAGAGTGAGACCAGTGAGAGACCAGAGAGAGAGACCCAGAGAGAGAGACCAGAGAGGCCAGTGAGTGAGACCAAAGAGTGACCAAAGAGTGACCAAAGAGAGACCAGAGATAGAGAGTCCAGCGAGAGGGACCAGAATGAGACTGGATTAAGCCCAGAGAGAGGTGAGAGAAAAAGAGAGAAACCAGCCTCACTCAGCCAGCTCACATGGCTCTGACAACAACATCAAAAAACACATAGAGCTATCGGACCATAAGGAGCAGAGACCAATGTCCATAAATGTGGATTAATCCTGGGTCATGTGAGCGGGCCGAGTGAAGGTGGTCACCTCTCTCTGGTCTACCTCCAGTCTCTCTCTCTCTGCTCTCTCTCTATTGACCAGAGAGGGAGACTAGAGTGAGTCTCTCTGGGTCATGTGGTGTCTATGATGCTTATACTGTACATTTATCTTTATACCCTTCATAAGGCGACCTTCCATGGCCACAAAAGCGCCATAAAATTAAATATCTTATTATTACCACTATGAAAGGAAAGAAAAGAGCGCCATTTTTTAAAAGGCATCGCTCAAAGCTCATCTGTCATCTTTCATATTTTCATAAAATTTAAAATGTGCAAACTCGGATCAAATTGGATGTCTGTGGCTGCTTGGTGTGGTCTCGTTCTAATCCCGGTGCTAGTGTCGTTCTGATCCCGGTGCTAGCTTGTTTGTTTGCATTCGTTAGCGCCGTGGTCCTTGGAGAAATAAGTGGTTTCGGAGCGAGAGGCGGCAGGACGGAGGCGCTCTGCATGAGAATGGGACGTCAGAGTAAACAGCAGGGACCAGAGAGAGAGAGACCAGAGAGAGACCAGAGAGAGAGAGACCAGAGAGAGAGAGACCAGAGAGAGACCAGAGAGAGAGAGACCAGAGAGAGAGAGACCAGAGAGAGACAAGAGAGAGAGACCAGAGAGAGAGATCGGAGAGAGAGACTAGAGAAAGAGACCAGAGAGAGACAAGAGAGAGAGACCAGAGAGAGACAAGAGAGAGAGACCAGAGAGAGACCAGAGATGGACCAGAGAGAGACCAGAGATGGACCAGAGAGAGACCAGAGAGAGAGAGACCAGAGAGAGACCTTTAAGCCTGATTTTAGTCCATAGTAAATATATCGAGTCCAAACCTCTACTACTGCAACACTCCCACCCAGACACAAGGACACAGGAGCAGAGGTGCATTCTGGGAGTGTCTGGTTCTACATCCACAGACGGCAGTGGTGCATCATCGAGTGTCTTCCTCTGCTGCATGTGCGAGGGCAACACGGCACCGCAGACTCTCCACGGACCCCCCCTCCACACACACAGACCCCCCCCATTCACACAGACCCCCCTCGGCCCCACGGATCGTGTCTCTCGGCGGGCGGCGGATGCCCTTGTGCGGAGGACGTACACATCGGAAATCCATGGAGCTGCGAGATCAAATGGAGCCCACTGCAGTGATTCTCTATCCCCAGTCTCTCTCCTCGTCCTGTGGAGAGCAGAACGAGCAGAGAGAGAGGAGAGAGCAGAGAGAGAACGAAGACAGGGCAGAGAGAGAGAGAGAGACAGAGAGAGAGAGAGTAGAGAAAGACGAGAGGGAGCAGAGAGAGCAGATAGAGAGCAGAGAGAGAGAGAGGAGAGAGAGAGCGCAGAGAGAGAGGAGAGAGAGAGACCAGAGAGAGGGAATAGAGAGGACAGAGAGATCAGAGAGAGAGTAGAGAGAGAAGAGAGGGAGCAGAGAGAGCAGAGAGAGAGAGGAGAGAGAAAGGAGAGAGGGACCAGAGAGAGACTAGAAAGAGAGACTAGAGTAAGACTGGAGAGAGACCAGAGAGAGACATCAGAGACCAGTGAGAGAGACCAGAGAGACATCAGAGAGACCATAGAGAGAAGGCAGAGAGACAACAGAGCAGAGAGAGAGACCGGCCTCTCTCTGCTCTGTCTTATTTTTCATGACTTTGTCATATCTGTCCATATCTGAGCTTTTTAAAACTCAAACCCAGTTCAAAGCCAGTGATGGACTCTTCATCTTCGACTGGAGCTAAACCCAACAAAATTGTGATTACAAAAAAAAAGAGACATTTGAGTATCTGGAGCGGGACTGGGACGAGTATATCCGGAGTGAGGGACTTGAAAGGTGCCGCGGATCTTTGCAAGTTCCAGGATTGATGTAAACGTGTGACGGAGATGAAAGACGGCGTTAAAAGAAACAGATGTGATCCCAGCGAGGACGGCTTTATCTGAACAAAGGAAGAGCAGAGAGGAAAAGGAAAAACCCTACCTGCTCTGCATGGAGAGAGAGCAGAGAGGAGAGAGAGAGGCCAGAGAGAGCAGAGAGAGAGAGAGAGAGAGAGACCAGAGAGAGCAGAGAGAGAACAGAGAGAGATGCCAAATGGAGAGAGATCAAACTTCCCCTCTGCAGTGACTCTCTGTCTCCAGTCTCTCTCCTCGTCCTGTGGCGAGCAGAAGGAGCACAGGAAGAGAGACCAGAGAGAGTCCAGAGAGAGAGATCAGAGGGAGAGAGAGCAGAGTGAGACCAGACCAGATAAAGATTGGAGAGAGATGAGAGTGAGAGACCAGAGAGAGCTCAGACATAGTGGCCAGAGAGAGAGAGACAAGAGAGAAACCAGAGAGAGAGGAGAAAGAGAGAATAGAGAGGCCAGAGAGAGAAGAGAGAGAGAGAGAGAGAGAGTAGAAAGAGACCAGAGAGAGAACAGAGAGATACCAGAGAGAGAGACCAGCAAGAGAAGAGAGAGAGACCAGAGAGAGAAACCAGAGAGAGAGAGACCAGAGAGGGAGAACAGAGAAAGAAAACAGGGACTCAGACGCTCTCCACAAAAACGGGGGTCGGCGCGAAACAAGAAAAAAAGAAAAGATTTTTGTCATCTTTCTTTGTTTACCGAGGCCTGAGGGTTTCTCTTCTGAAGCAAGTTTCAACACAGTATTGTCAGAGCAGTCGTCAGGAGTTACTTTGCGTCGCAATCACAGAGTTTGTTGTTCGGAGGACGGGGAATAGTGTGTGAACTTTCAGAAGGCTTTGGTTCTTTACCCGAGATTTAAAGATATGGAGAGAGACGTACCTTTCCCTCGTTAGGTCTCACAGGGATCAGCGGATTGAACGGTATGAGAACGGCTTGTTAAAGGTGACAAGTGTTAAAAAGATGACTTTGAAGAGCTGGGAACGAGGTTGTGTTGGTTTTTTTCAGTGTTTGACCAGGTGCTTTAGGTTGTATACAAGGCAAGATTTAATTTAAAATCACAGACTAGAGAGAGAGAGAGACTAGACTAGAGAGAGAGACGAGAGAGAGAGATCAGACCAGTGAGCGAGACCAGAGAGAGAGCAGACAGAGAGACTAGAGAGAGAGAGAGGTCAGAGAGAGACCAGAGAGAGACCAGAGAGAGACCAGAGAGAGACCAGAGAGAGACCAGAGAGAGACTAGAGAGAGACCAGAGAGAGAGAGCAGAGAGAAACTAGAGAGAGAGACCAGAGAGAGACAAGAGAGAGAGAGCAGAGAGAAACTAGAGAGAGAGACCAGAGAGAGACAAGAGAGAGAGATCAGACCAGTGAGCAAGACAAGAGAGAGAGAGCAGACAGAGAGACTAGAGAGAGAGGCCAGAGAGAGACCAGAGAGAGACTAGAGAGAGAGCAGAGCAAGAGAGAGAGAGAGCAGAGAGAGAGAGAGAGCAGAGAGAGAGACTAGAGAGAGAGACCAGAGAGAGAGACCAGAGAGAGACAAGACAGAGAGATCAGACCAGAGAGAAAGAGAGAGAGAGGCCAGAGAGAGACTAGAGAGAGAGAGAGACTAGAGATAGAGAGGCCAGAGAGAGAGACCAGAGAGAGGGGCAAGAGGGAGAGACAAAATAGAATTATGAGAAAGACCAATGAGAGAGACCAGTGAGAGAAACCAGTGAGAGACACCGGAGGCCAAATAAAAGTGCACGTGAAATTTAGTGATAGAGGCAAATGTTTTGAGACGAGGGACTCATTGAACCATGTGGATTTTATCACATGGTTCAATGATGGTTTGAAAGTTCAGTTCTCAGCTTTAATGTCTTCTTTAAACAACAACAGTTTAAAGCTTTCTCCGCTGTTTCTCTGAACGTTATCTGCTCGGGTTCATCCCACTCCATCCTTCAGTGCTGTTCTGTTCCCTCCTCTATCTCACGCTCGCCATCTCCTCCACATCCACAGGGCGGTAATTGGGATGTGACCGTCCCACTGTGCCCAGGCCAATCCAGGCCAGTCCCAGCAGAGGACCAATCAGGATCACGCAGCGAGAGGCTGACGACAGGGACAGAGACTTAACTCAAATCTCACATCTTTGGCTCCAGAAAAATCGCACAGAAGTCTCTATCGTTAAAAAGACCACATGGAGCTACAGTTTGGGATGCGACCTGAGCTAACAAAGATAAGGAGCTGCAGTTTGGGATGCGACCTGAGCTAACAAAAACAAGGAGCTGCAGTTGCTACCGAGTTTTATGTGCATTTACTGTATACAGAGGCATGGAGCTACAGTTTGGGATGCGACCGAGCTATAAATGCATTTATACAGAGGCATAGAGCTACAGTTTGGGATGCGACCCAACTATTTATACAGAAGCATGGAGCTACAGTTTGGGATGTGACCCAACTCTGTATGCATTTATACAGAAGCTTGGAGCTGTACTGTTTTGGATGCGACCGAGCTATATGTTAATTTATACAGAGGCATGGAGCTACCGTTTTGGATGGGACCAAGCTATATGTGCATGTATACAGAGGCATTGAGCTACCGTTTTGGATGCGACCGAGCTATATGTGCATGTATACAGAAGCATGGAGCTACCGTTTTGGATGCGACCGAGCTATATGTGCATGTATACAGAGGCATGGAGCTACCGTTTTGGATGCGACCGAGCTATATGTGCATGTATGCAGAGGCATGGAGCTACCGTTTTGGATGCGACCGAGCTATATGTTCATTTATACAGAGGCATGGTATAACCTCTCCACCTGCCACAGCAGGTTATATGCACAGCACACAAAACATTCTCCCAAAAAAAGAAGCTTTAAAGTGTTTTTGTGGTTCTTTTAAAAGACAAGTCAGTCCTACAGAGTCCAGGATTTATACAAATTTGTTTTTTTCATATTTGACTTTTAATGATTTTACTGTATTACTATGAAACTGTTTTAACTTACTGTCTTGTCTCACTTGGATTGGATCTACAGACAGTTTGTGAGAGTGGATCCCTCTCTCTATTTGGGTCTCCACGAGGTTTGTCTCTTTTGTCCCACAGTTTTTTTTTTGAGTGGTTCCTCTGATGGAGGTTCTAAGGACTGTGTGTGTGTTTTGTAAAAGTACATTTGAGAATACACTACAGACCTACAGTACATGCACGTCTGTCTCTGTCTCTGCCACCGTCTTTATGCCTCTGTCTCCATGTCTCGGTCTCGGCCTCTGTCTCTGCCTCTGTGTCTCTCTGTCTCTGCCTCTGTCTCTCTCTGTCTCTGCCTCTGTCTCTGCCTGTCTCTCTCTGTCTCTGCCTCTGTCTCTGCCTGTCTCTCTCTGTCTCTGCCTCTGTGTCTCTCTGTCTCTCTGTCTGTCTCTCTCTGTCTCTGTGTATTGTGTGATGATGAAGACGTTCTCTCCTGACTCCCTCTGTTTTCGAACTGCTCTCATCTCTCATCCTCTGCTCAGTGAAGCGAGGACCAGGACTGAATCTCTGAATCTGCTCCATTTGTCTGGACCTGCTGTCTGTCTGCAGGAGCTGAGCAGTCTCCCCCTCTCTCCCTCCCTCTCTCCCCTCTCAGTCTGGCTCCCATACGGATAACTGGACTGCTACTGTCACAAAGGTCAAAAGTTGCAAATGATTAAACAACTTCTCACAGACTCAGACTTTGTGTCAGTTTATGCACAAATCCAAAACAAACATGTCTTTATCTCATCAGAATCTGTTTCATACTCGTGAGAAAGACGCCTGTGAGTCAGACATGTGTCGCTCTAAAAACAGCTTTGAATCCAGCTCTTAGAATAATCACTGACTCCTCTAGCCCCTGGAGAAGACATGTTCCAGCTTCTTCCCTCTGGCAGAAGATCTTGTTGGCTGAGATACAGGACATCAGGATGTGCTAACAGCTGTTATCATTCCGAAAAAAGCACTTAAATGATCTCTCTCTCTCTCTGGTCTCTCTCTTTCGCTTGCTCTCTGGTTTCTCTTACCTCTATAAGGGATGGACATCTCAGGGTTCTCTCAGAACATGGCCGCAGTAGCTTGAGCGTCTGGTGCAGGCCTTGACTACTTGATTGTTTGAAGCTGTTAAATGTATTATTAAGGCGGAGCTGAACATTGAAGCGGACAATATAACATATTTACTTCTCAACTCTGTGCTTCGAGTGGCAATCAAAACTGTATTTTGAGCACTACACAACACTGTGCAGCCCGTGCGCCATGGCCGACAATATCACGCTGCAGTCAATCTGGGACGCAATCCACCAGATGAAGGGCCAAATCTCATCCGAAGTGAATGCCCACCTGGACCTAAAAATTGGTTCTGTTCAGGCAGGACTAATGGATATTCAGCAAACACTCAATTCTGTTACGGGCCAGGTCGGGGAATTACAACAGCGAGTAAGCACCAATGAGGATGACGTTGCCCAACTTTTGGAGAGGACGAACGCAATTGAAAAAGATAATGCTTACCTGAAGGAGAAAGTGGAGGATCTCGAAAACAGAAGCAGAAGATCCAATCTTCGTTTTCTTAATATTCCAGAAAGGAGTGAAATGAACAACATGGTGGCCTTCGTGAGTAATCAGCTGATCCCCACCTTCCTCGGCGGTGAGAACTTCCCCACGACGCCCGTTGTGGAAAGGGCGCATCGTTCTTCAACATTCTCCAGCAACCCTGGCCGTCCAAGACCTATTCTTGCGAAGTTTGCAAATTTCCAAGACAAGGTGAAGATTATGCGCTTGGCCAGGGTAAAGGGGCGCCTCTCGTTCGGGGGAGTAGAAGTCTTCATTTATCCCGACTTCCGTCCACAGACCGTCAAGAAACGCCGAGGATTTGATGAAGTTAAAAATAAGCTCCGTGCCGCTGAAATTAACTATTCCCTGGTTTATCCCAGCACGCTGAGGGTGACTGTGGAGGGGAAGCCCAAACTTTTCCGCTGCCCCATGGACGCAGAAGCGTTCTTCAAACACCTTCCCGAAACGGCGAAGTAAGTAAGACTCTCTTTCAGACTGTGTTGGATGTGCCTTGCCGGTGCCTGGACGGTGTCTATGTTCGACAGGAATTAAGGTTTGGATGGCGAGATCATATTTGTTGCTATTTAATTTCTGATGCGAACTTTTTACAATGGACAGGCAGGGAAGGACTTCCGTATTTGCCGTAAAGCGTCTTCCGTAATGTGACAAAAGGGTCGTAAAATGCAACACATTTTGAGTTCGTCAATTAATCTATAATATTGAGTTTGACCGATGCTGTCGATACAAGTATTTATACATTTGATTTGAGGACGTGTCCATTAAAGGGAATAGCTAAAAACAATATATATATGTAAATTTATGTATGTAATATGTGTGTATGTATGTGTATGTATATACACATATGTGTGTATGTATCTATGTATGTATATGTGTATATATAAAAAAAAAAATATATATATATATATATATATATATAAAAACCAGTGATATTAATTTATAATAAATAATTACAGCATAGTAGTCAATGCCTGCTGGCATCCTCTTTCATTTATTGTAATTATGATGTTATTATATTTGTGTGTCCGTGTGTGGATGGGAGTGTATGTTTGTGTGTTTGGGAGGTATGAGTGTATTGTCTGTATGTACGTCTGTCTATGGCCCCTAATCTTCGTCCATGTGCCTGCTCACCCCTGTTCCATGTTTCTGAGATAGAGTATTATGCACAATTCAGATAGTGATACTTCATCCACCTCAGAAGATATGCTGGATTTAGATCTAGGTTTTCCTCAATTTTCCGTTCAGGAAGCATATGAGCGGATGAATGATATAGATCCGGATAATAATATTCTCAAAGATATTGGTAATAATTGTGCATATTATTCAGACAAAACATTTAGAGACACAATTACAATGGATAACAAGTTATCACTTGTTCACTTCAACAGCCGTAGTCTCTATTGTAATTTTGAAAATATTAAAGACTACTTGTATCAGTTAAAATCACCCTTTAATATCATTGCAGTCTAAGAGACATGGTTAAATGTGGATAAAGGTACTGACTTTATAATGAATGGATATGAAATGTTTAGTACGAATAGACAGCATAAGAAAGGTGGGGGGGGGGGGGGGGATGGAAAGTGGATGGAAAGGCTATTCGCTAGTATAACAAAAAAAGATGTAATTGTGTGCGGTGACTTTAATATAGATTTACTGAATGGAAATAAGCACAGAATTACAGAAGATTTTATTGAAATAATGTTCAGTAATAATCTGTATCCACTAATCACAACACCTACAAGAGTAACAGCACACAGTGCAACTTTAATTGATCATTTTTTTTCCAATATCATAGATAATAAAATAGTTAGTGGGATACTCCTAAATGACATCAGTGATCATTTCCCTGTCTTTATGGTCTATGATGTGAACTACAAAATTATTCAAGAAAATAACTGTTACAGAAGGGTTAAAACAGATCAAGCACTGGAAGCTCTAAAAACGGACTTAGCTTCACACAACTGGTCATTTATTTATGGAGAGTCTGATGTAAACACAGGATATAACTCTTTTATGGATATATTTATTGCACTTTATGACAAAAATTGTCCAGTTAGGAAATGCCGGAAAAAAAATGAATCAAATACTCCTTGGATAACAAAAGGTCTATCAAATGCTTGCAAAAAGAAAAACAATTTACATAAACATTTCCTTAAATCGAGAACTACTGAGGCGGAACTCAAGTACAAAAAATATAAAAATAAATTAACAAGTATCCTGAGAGAATGCAAAAAAGAATATTATGCAAAGTTACTTCAAAGTACGAAGAATAATATTCAGGGTATCTGGAAGGTATTGAATTCTATAATTGGGAGCAATGCGAGTGATCCTTGTTATCCAGAGTATTTTGTTGAAAATGACAATTAATGTGGGAAAAGAAACATTTAATAGGTTTTTTGTGAACATTGGACCCGAGCTAGCAGCGAACATTCCAACGGGCAGTGATACGGTGCATACTTCGCTTGAGAGGAATCCAAATTCTATGTTTTTGACTCCCACTGATGAGAATGAAGTCTTGGTGACCATAATTCAATTTGGAGAGACGAGAAACGAAAATGGTTTTGAGTATTTATTGAGGTGGTTTGGCGCCCTAGGCCCCGGTGCGGCCTTCAGATCGGAGAGGCTCCTGCGATGGAGCGCGTACAATCCCCCGGGACCTAGGCACTGGTGGAGGCAGATTGGCAGATTGGAGGCAGATTGGAGGCAGATTGGAGGCAGATTGGAGGCAGATTGGAGGCAGATTGGAGGCAGATTGGAGGCAGATTGGAGGCAGGGTGAAGAGGAGGAGGAGGCAGGGTGAAGAGGAGGAGGAGGGGAGGCGGTGGTTGCGAGGCTTCGAGAAGGCCGAGAGTGGGAGTTGCTCCGCTTTTAAGCGGCTGCCTGTCCGGCACGGATGATTGGAAGGGGGCGTTTGCTGAGCGATAGGCTGGGGAAGCGAACCGGCCTGGAGGGGGTAGCTTTTGGCTGACGTCTACCAAATTGAATTTTCGCGAGCTACATTTCAATTTGGAGAGACGAGAAACGAAAATGGTTTTGAGTATTTATTGAGGTGGTTTGGCGCCCTAGGCCCCGGTGCGGCCTTCAGATCGGAGAGGCTCCTGCGATGGAGCGCGTACAATCCCCAAAAAGGCTGTGTGTGTTGATGGAGTTTTGCAGCCTGGTTTGCAGGGGACAGACGTCGTGGCTGCTCTATGCTGTGACCGCTATCGCTATGCTGTGACCGCTATCGCTATGCTGTGACCGCTATTGCTATGCTGTGACCGCTATCGCTATGCTGTGACCGCTATCTCTATGCTGTGAACCGTTTATGCGCTAACCATTTTTTGCTATGCTGTGACCGCTAACACTAACGCTATGACCGCTACCACTGACGCTATGACCGCTATCACTGACGCTATGACCGCTATCACTGACGCTATGACCGCTATCACTGACGCTATGACCGCTATCACTGACGCTATGACCGCTATCACTATGTGCTGTGACCGTTATATGCGGTTATCTTTGAGTGCCGGGACGTGAGCGCTCGCATCACGATCAACCGGACGCTGCGGCAGGGTTATCTTTGAGCGCTGGGAACGTGAGCGCTCGCATCACGTTCCGTCAGACGCTGCGGCAGCGGAGAGTGTTTGAGAGAAGTGCGTGCCGCCACCAGAATCTTATTGGTTCACTTACTTTGTTTGAGATGAAGGTTGAAAGGGTCAGGGGACATAATGTTGGGTGAAAGAGAGCGACCTTTGTGTAAGCTTCCACTACGTCGAGATTATCACACATGACAGAGATCCTCTTTCTCCGCCACGTGTGATTCCGCAGCGCGCAGGCCACGACCACTGGGAATATCTCGTGTAGGGCAGAGGAGATGCTCCGGTGGAAAGCAGCGGCCACGGCCCGGCAACCCGATGGTCCTGGAAAAAAAACCCCAAAACCCACGGAAGGGGCACGTCCGTGTAGAAGCGGAGACCTGGAGGGGCAGAGACATGTCGGAGAGGGCCATTGATGTTGCAGGCGCCCTTACGCTTAGAATCTTGGGTTGGAGAGTAGATAATCAGGACAGTAGGAAGGTCGGGAAAAGCCGTGTCTCGGACCGCATGAAGGTTGAGTGAGCAGTAGTGAACGCTTATGCAGAGAAGCCATGGAAGGCGAGCAGGAAGATGCTGCGAGGAGGGCAGACATGTACCTGGAAGATGAGCCGGAGTTCAGTGCCGCTGCAGGATGGGCAGCATGATGGGGAGCCTGCGATCAGAAGAGTGAAGAATACAGGTATGGATGCCTTTGATTAGGAGTCCGATTGACGGCTCAGCGCAGCAACTCGGCCAGCTGCATCTGATAGAATCGGAAGATTAAGTAGAGAGATGAAGCACGACCGCCGAAGCGACCCTGGGAGCATAGGTGCGAGTCCAGTGCAGCGCGGCATACTCTGCCGGGCTGCCTCCATTAGAAGCAGGATAAGCTTCTGAGAGAGTGGGTTGCAGCAGTAGCAGTAGCAGTAGCGGCAGCGGCAGTAACCTCAGATAATAACGGCAACGACCTGTATCAGCCGCGGCAGCAGCAGCTGCAGCATCCGTAGATAATAACGGCAAAAACCCTGTATCAAAGCCACGGCAGTAGAATATGTTGTAGCTGTTTAGTGTTTCAGTAAGAGAAGCGAAGTGAAGAGAGATGACAAAGTACATGAAGCAGCAGCAGCACGGCAGTAGTAGCAGTATGAAGCAGCAGCGGCAGCAGTAGCAGCAGTAGCGGTAGCAGTATGAAGCAGCAGAAGCAGCATCAGCGGGAGCAGCAGCACCACAAAGCGATTCATACGAACAGACAGACGTGTCGCGCCAGTGTGCGCCGCTTGTCTCCATGAGCCCGGTTACGTACGTGTCTGAAAGAGCCGAGCCACAGAGACAGGTGCAGCCTGGGAGCCTGCGGAACGGCAGCGGCACATGTAGTAGTAGGAGCAGCAGGAGCAGGCAGCAGGGACAGACGGCAGCAGGAGCGGCAGCAGGAACAGGCAGCAGCAGGAGCGGCAGCAGGAACGGCGGCGGCGGGATCGGCATCAGTAGGAACGGCAGCGGGGACCGGCAGCAGCGGCGGTCAGAGAACCATGCCCACGGTTGTTTAACAGCCTGAGGAAATAAATCAACCCGAATCCGAAACATTCCCATGCGAATAACAGACGTCCCCTGGAGCCATCTTCTGCTTTGGTTATGGCAGATGCGCATGAACGATCACTGATCCATGCGTTCATAGCTCCAACACTACTTCACACCCATTGCAGATTCACGTTCGGCCCTTTTTCTTCCTGCTGCACTTTCAAAATGCAACACTGCAGTTAGTTACCTAATTTAATACCAGCGACCTAGCTATTTAATGCATGGTTTTACTGCAAGTGGCAGAACATGATCTGAATTAATGCACATAGCTCCTCGTATATCCCTCAGACGATAGAGATTGATGCCATTTAATATGCATTGCCCCTCGGTTAGCTCAGACACGTGTGAAAACGGAGCCTGCAGACCAAGCACGGGGCGAAAAAACTGGCGCCTGCAGTCAAGTGCGTAGGGCAAAAACCAATCGCCTGCAGCCCAGAACTCCGGGATTAATCTGTCCGCGGTCAGCACACTCACTGTACTCACATGCCAGGAGACTTGGGAAAAGCAACGGGACAACGCGGCACCGCCAATCGAGGCAGGGACACGCACGCACCAGACCTTCTGCGTGCGGCAGCAGACCACGAGGAACGAGCCGCACAGAAACCCGCGGAGGGCCCCGCGGAGCAGCCCGCAGAAAGAGCCCGCAGAGGAGGAGAGCAGTGGGGATATGCGAACCACAGCAGTGCAGGGACGCGGAAGAGGAGCAGACCAGTGCAGGGACACGGAAGAGGAGCAGACCAGTGCAGGGACACGGAAGAGGAGCAGACCAGTGCAGTGACGCGGAGGAGGAGCAGACCAGTGCAGGGACGCGGAGGAGGAGCAGACCACAAGCAGCCAGACGGAGGACGCCAGGGACGCGCCGAGTAGCGTGAGTAGACGAAAACGATTCCTCCAGACGATTCTCTGCAAGGCTTCAGGAGCATGCGAGGCTTCGAGAAGGCCGAGAGTGGGAGTTGCTCCGCTTTTAAGCGGCTGCCTGTCCGGCACGGATGATTGGAAGGGGGCGTTTGCTGAGCGATAGGCTGGGGAAGCGAACCGGCCTGGAGGGGGTAGCTTTTGGCTGACGTCTACCAAATTGAATTTTCGCGAGCTACATAACAATGAAGCAACAAAAGTTCTAAGGATTTAAATGATATAGACATGAAAACAATAAGAGCTGTTGCGGAAGCAATTGTCAAACCACTAACACATATCTGCAACCTGTCATTTCAATACGGACAATTTCCCACCCAAATGAAAATAGCCAAGGTAATTCCTCTATTCAAGTCAGGTGATAAACACTGCTTCACAAACTACCGCCCAGTCTCCCTTCTACCCCAGCTTTCAAAAATTCTAGAAAAAATATTTAATTCAAGACTACTAAATTTTATGGAAAAAAATAATTTATTATCAAACAGTCAATATGGTTTTAGACAAGGTAGATCTACATCACAAGCTCTAATAGAAATGGTGGAAGACATTACCAATTGTATAGAAAAAAACAACTTTATTATTGGAATTTTTATTGATTTAAAAAAGGCATTTGATACAATTGATCACCATATTCTTTTAGATAAATTGGGCAACTATGGCATCAGAGGAATGCCACAGAGGTGGTTGGAGAGTTACTTGGGAGACAGGCAGCAGTTTGTACAGATGGAGCAACACAAATCTTCACTCAGTAACATCACGTGTGGGGTCCCTCAAGGTTCTATCCTTGGGCCAACATTGTTTTTACTGTATATCAACGACATTTGTAATGTATCCAAAGTCATGAAATTTTTATTGTTTGCGGATGACACTACAATCTTATGTTCTGGAGCGGATTTGGAGAATCTTCTCAATCAAATAACTCAAGAAATGTATACATTAAAAACATGGTTTGATCTAAATAAATTATCACTTAACTTAAAAAAGACAAAACTAATGCTATTTGGAAACAGGACCACAGACATGACGGTACAAATAATCAATTATTGATCAAAAACTTTCTTGGAAACCTCATATAACTTATCTGCGATCAAAAGTAGCAAAGTGTGTTGGTGTGATGAAGAGATGTAGTCCCATGCTCAATCAAAATGCCTTATTTATTTTGTACCACTCATTTACAATGTCATACTTAAATTATTGTATAGAAATTTGGGGAAGTTGTTACAAAACAAATCTATTACCTTTAGTCACGCTCCAGAAAAGAGCAATTAGAATTGTTCATAAAGTAAAATATAATGAGCACACCAACCCACTGTTTTTTTACACATTTAATTTAAAATTGTATGATGTGGTAAATTATAGAACAGCTCTGATCATGGACAAAGTATCTACCAATTATCTTCCTGATCACATCCAGAGTCTTTTCCAAGATCGGGATGCTCATCACTTATATAATCTAAGAGGGATCAATAAACTATATCAGCCAAAAGTTAGGACAACCCTTAAATCTATGTGCATTTCAGTGAGCGGGGTCATGTTGTGGAACAGTCTTCCAGAGGAATTGAAAACATGTAAAAAACTTGTGCTATTTAAAAAAATGTTTAAAAGATATATAATGAGTAAGTACCAGGAAGAGATGGGAGATTGATGCTCTCATAGACAGGCACATGTGTGTGTATGGCCTGGGTATAGGTAAATGTTTAAAATGAATTACACTTAATACATTCCAAATGTCAAGACTGTAAATGACTTTATTGTAAATATGTGCAATTGTGATTGAACTACTCCTTTTGAGTACTATCATAGTGTCTATCATGTATTGTATGGGGCAAAGGGGTGTATGGTTGGAGTGTTTGGGGCCTGTGTCGTGTTTCTGTTTATTGTTGTAGTGTGTGTATTTAGTGTAGTGTGGTGTGAGTGGGGGGTGAAATCAAATAAGCATAAGCTTCCTCCATCCCCTTTTCAAGTTACATGATTGTGAATTGAAACAGACTGTGTATGTTATTTTTTCCTTACTTGAAATAAATAAACAAACAAACAAACAAAGTCATCTTTATTTATATGCCGCCTTTCACAGACCAGAGTCACAAAACGCTTTACAATTGTGGGCATTTGTCTCTCACTCCACACAGAGACTGGGGTCGGCAGTACAGGAGGCACACGCCAGACCTTTTATACATGTTTTTAGTGGTAGGAGGAACTGGAGCACCTGGAGGAAACCTATGCAGACACAGGAAATCTGGTCTCTTTCTCTTTGGTCTCTCTCTCCGGCCTCTCCCTCGCCCCTCTGCCTTCCCCTCTTTCCCACTCCCTCGCCCCTCTCTCCCTCAGCCCTCTACCTTCCCCGCTCTCCCTCACCCCTCTACCTTCCCCACTCTCCCTCACCCCTCTGCCTTCCCCGCTCTCCCTCACCCCTCTGCCTTCCCCACTCTCCCTCACCCCTCTGTCTTCCTCGCTCTCCTTCACCCCTCTACCTTCCCCACTCTCCCTCACCCCTCTGCCTTCCTCGCTCTCCTTCAGCCCTCTACCTTCCCCACTCTCCCTCACCCCTCTGTCTTCCTCGCTCTCCTTCACCCCTCTACCTTCCCCACTCTCTCTCGCCCCTCTGCCTTCCCCACTCTCTCTCGCCCCTCTGCCTTCTCCACTCTCCCTCACCCCTCTACCTTCCCCACTCTCCCTCACCCCTCTACCTTCCCCACTCTCCCTCACCCCTCTACCTTCCCCACTCTCCCTCACCCCTCTACCTTCCCCACTCTCCCTCGCCCCTCTACCTTCCCCACTCTCTCTTGCCCCTCTACCTTCCCCACTCTCCCTCACCCCTCTACCTTCCCCACTCTCCCTCACCCCTCTACCTTCCCCACTCTCCCTCGCCCCTCTACCTTCCCCACTCTCTCTCGCCCCTCTGCCTTCCCCACTCTCCCTCACCCCTCTACCTTCCCCACTCTCCCTCACCCCTCTACCTTCCCCACTCTCCCTCACCCCTCTACCTTCCCCACTCTCCCTCACCCCTCTACCTTCCCCACTCTCTCTTGCCCCTCTACCTTCCCCACTCTCTCTCGCCCCTCTGCCTTCCCCACTCTCTCTCGCCCCTCTACCTTCCCCACTCTCTCTCGCCCCTCTGCCTTCCCCACTCTCTCTCGCCCCTCTACCTTCCCCACTCTCTCTCGCCCCTCTGCCTTCCCCACTCTCTCTCGCCCCTCTGCCTTCCCCACTCTCTCTCGCCCCTCTACCTTCCCCACTCTCTCTCGCCCCTCTGCCTTCCCCACTCTCTCTCCCCCCTCTACCTTCCCCACTCTCTCTCGCCCCTCTACCTTCCCCACTCTCTCTCGCCCCTCTACCTTCCCCACTCTCTCTCGCCCCTCTGCCTTCCCCACTCTCTCTCGCCCCTCTACCTTCCCCACTCTCTCTCGCCCCTCTGCCTTCCCCACTCTCTCTCGCCCCTCTGCCTTCCCCACTCTCCACTCGCCCCTCTGCATCTGCATCTTGTGATTTATGGCCTGCATTAAACTGTCTGCAGTCTTTCATGAACGCTGTAGCAGGTGATTGAATTAGCGCAGTGTGTTTGGAGTCGGGGATGATCTCCCTGTAGCCGCGCACACATGTAGCGCTCTCGGCGAGCTGTACGCTCGCTGCGTTTTTATCCAATCTGTGATCTGATTATTATTCAGAAACATGCGAGCGCTCGTCCATCACTGCGGTGACGCACTACAGGTGCTAGCTATACCCCCGGCGCTGCGTTAGCTTGTAAGGGCTAGCCGAGCGGCCTTCGCACCGACGCCAGGTATTTAAACAAGCTTTGTCACGTTATTTCTCTATAGAAGCACCTTGTGTTGTAGATAAATTAAGTAGTTATAAATGACTGATGGATCTGTACCAGTCTGTGTTTCTAAATATACATGTATTAGTAAATATGATTGTGTCATGTTAATTCATTAATTTGTGTTTTGTTTTAACAGTGAAATATGAAATGTGTGGGGTTTTAAACTTTAAACCATATTTAATAACTGTAAAAGAGAGACAAAAAAAGCTTCAATTAAACTTTATTATCATTATTGTTATACTTTTCCCCTGTAAGGTAAGGGTATTTTACTGCAAATGGCAAATAAACTGGACCTAAATCTGAATCCACTTTTTTTCAACCAATCCTTCCAACGACCCTAATCTCTCACATATTTTCTATATTTGTTATTATTATTATTATCATTATCTTCTCTATTTGTATTTTTCTTTTTGTCTCCTTGTCTTTGTGTTATGTTTGTTCTGTTTATCATTGTACTTTTTGTGCTTTTGTTTTGTATGTTTTTTGTGTGTTCTTGCTGAACGTTTCTCTGTTTTGCTTGCCTTTAATAAAAATAAAAATAACCCATCACATCCTCAGACTCTTACCAGCTCCTGGAGAAGCTGTAACGTGACATCACACTGAAAAAGAAGGACATTCCACTGCACTCCCTCCCACTGGTCTCAGTGTCAGTGGAATATACAAATCCCACGCTTGCAAACCGCGACTCGTGCCACGCGTAATGATGCCGAGGAGCGCCGGGGGCCGGTGCGGCGGGGTCCAAATGTCACACAGATATAAACCAAACCAAATGGATGGATTCTTCCAGCGGCGGCATAATTCTACTGCTGCTAAATGACTGTAATCAGGCAAAGAGGCAATGATGCGGCGATTAGGAGGAGGTCGCGGACGAGGGGGAAAGGTGGTCATTATCGTGCTATGTACAGGTGTGGGTTCAGAGGGGTGAGGACAGAGAGAGCAGCTGGAGGGAGGAGAGGGGAGGAGAAGGGTAGAAGGACAGGAGACAGATGGGCCATATGTTTACTGTGAGTAGGTGAGGGGTTGTGTAAGAGATGGGAGTTAAAAGTGTGAGGGTGTGTTTAAAAATATATAGAGATATTTTGCAAAATTGACCCTCAAAGACATTTTCGCTCCAAACACAGTGGTGATGAACTACTACTATAGCCACAGCTGCCCTGGGGCACACTGACAGAAGCAAGTCAACCCCCTCCCACCACCACCAACCATTCACACACACATCAGACTCACTCTAATGTGGGTGAAGTGTCTTGCCTAAGGACATAACCGCTGGCACTTTATAGCCGTAGCCGTCCCACTGTGGCACCAGAGGTCTCCCATCACCGTACTAACCAGGCCCTGCCCTGCTTAGCTTCACAGGTCTGACAGGATCTGGCTTACTTACATGCAGGTGGCAGTTTTCTATCTCAGTATAAGACAATGCCAACATCTGATCACAATACTAGTTATTTCTGTTTATTAGAATTTTAAATCCAGTTTCCAGAAATAGCAGTAGTTTTTAGCGCAAATAATACACAACTTCCTGGCTGTTCCCTTTGCCCCTCTCCCCCCTCCTCTGGACGGTCCCCATCCAGTCCCGCAGTGAATGCGACCTCTCTGTCTCTGAGCAATAACTGTGGGGAATCCAAAAGCTTCAATCCCGGCCGGCTGTAACATCTGCCGCTGCTCCACCGCTGGGATGTTTCCAATCTCGCCTTCTGCCATTTTGGAACGCCGTCTCGCTCGCCGCGGCCAGTAACCGTTGTCGTACGACCCACCGGGGACACCTGACAGCGAGGATTAGCTGGCCGGCCGCCGTCCTGGCTTCTCCGCTCTCCTCTCTGTGAGTCGTGGGTCCTGTGTGAGCTCGGGGAGAGAGGGAGGGAGGGAGGGAGGGGAAGCGTCTGGGGATGTGTGAATTGTGAGGGGTGACCCGTGGCGACCATGTTGGCTGTCAACATGTTGTCTGAACACATCATCATGGCGACCCAGGGGCAGAGGGTGACGAGGCGGGTTTGGGAATGAGGAGACGAAAGATGTAGAAGGCTGCAATATGTACAGACAGACCTGGGTCCACAGCATCAGTCCTGGGTCCACAGTCTCAGTCCTGGGTCCACAGCCTCAGTCCTGGGTCCACAGTCTCTTATCAGGCTCAGTCTCATCTCTCAGTCTTTTCTCTCTTCTCTCAGTCTATTCTATTGTCTTCTCTCAGTCTCTTCTCTCAGTCTCTTCTCAGTCACTTAACCTCTCAATCTTTCTCCTGCCTCTGTCCTCAGCCGCCCCTCTCTTTCGCTCTCTCTCTCTTTCTATCTCTCTCTCGGCATCGTGAGCATTTCTCAGGTTGTCATCTCCAGCACCGAACTCAAATCTCACCGCTGCAAGAGCATCCCAAAGAGAGGGCCTCATGTGGGTCAAGACAGTCGCCCTCCTGGGAGCACAAAGCTTTCTAACCACGAAAAACTCTACAACGGAGGCATTCCGCTCCAGAGACGACCAAAACAGATTTACAGGATGTGACTTTTGCCTCGACTTGATGTTTTTCGTGGCATTCTGATATTTAAAGCTGAGGTGGCGGCAAAAAACGGTGAATACGGATGGACCCCGGCTTGGCTTTTGAACGTACCGTGTTCTTTACAATTTAGCGGCTTCCGGCAAAGTCATTCCAATTCCAGGATTCTGGCAGTTTGGAAGAGTTTGCCAAACGCGTCCCAGGTAATTTGTCAAAATGTACAGAAAATGGGAAGACTGGCTTGTTTATACCCGGGGTAAAATCTGACCTTGGCCACTTTATACCCAGGTATATTCTGGCGGTGGGTTAAACCGGCCACACTTTGCCTCAGGTGTGCTCTAGGAGGTCAAAACTGGTACTGTCAATGTCATGTATGATAGCAGGCAGATATTTCCTTTACAATACTTACAAATCATGACCATATTACAGATTCCAAAAAGGAAATAAGTAGTAAGTAAGTAACCAGAGTGGGGGGAGTCGTCTGGTGGTCAGAGAATGTGTGTGCACTTCTGGGTTTAAGAGAATATGAATGACTCCCACGAGCATCAATCTCTGCAAAGACTGTTCCAACATGGTCAGGATCTATCTGTGAAAAGTCCATTTTGCACGTGTCACTGAGCGCTCCTTAAAACAACCGCGTGACCAAAGCTAATTACGAACAGCATTAAACATTTATGTGAGTGATGATCCGGTCCGTCCTCAACGCCCTGAGCTCACACGGAGAACAGCGGAGGCTTGTCCTGACGTCTTCCATGTTCTTTGGCTTTGTGTTGGCGTTGAAGACGGATGGACCCAGCTTTGGTTGCCTTGCTTACCATTTGAATGCACTGGGCGGCACGGTGGCTGAGTGGATAGCACTCTCGCCTCTCAGCAAGAAGGTCCTTGGTTCGAATCCTGGTCGGACCAGGGCCTTTCTGAGTGGAGTTTGCATGTTCTCCCCGTGTCTGCGTAGGTTTCCTCCGGGTACTCCGGTTTCCCCTACCACTAAAAATATGTCCAATAGTTCTGGCATGCGCCTCCTATACTGGCGACCCCGCTCCCATCTCTGTGTGGAGTGAGAGACAAATGCCCAAAATTAACAATTGTAAACCGCTTTGAGACTCAGATCTGCAGTGAAAAGGCGGTATATAAATAAAAACTTACTTACTTACTTACTTACTGTGTTCCATTATTTCTTTGGTCAAAATGAAAATTTTTATGGTCACATGTTTCCAAAGATTGTAGACATCTTACAGTAAAAAAAAACAAAAAATTAATACGTCTATACTAAGTATTTTAGGGCTAAATAAGGCCTAACCGAAAGGATTTTGAACGATGGGAGCATTTAGGACAAGACTCAAACTACAAATCCAATTCAAGATGACACCTCAAACAGATTCACACCAATGATGGACAAATTTTGCACAAAACTACTTCTACATAATTAGTACTTTTTTCATATTTCAATACTTCAGGTAAGTGACAAAGCCTCGGCCTCTCTCCGCTCTTCCATGAGATGGACAATGCTTCACGCTGAGGGGCTAGCATCACTCCACACAATAGCTCCTCCTGCTATTATGAAGGAAATGAAAGCCCCCTTTGTCCACAGAAACTCTTCAAAAGGCTCAAAATGTGGCTGCTCCAAATATAACAGCACAGTCAACATTCACCAGGCTCTAGATGCTTTGGTGTCATTGTTGATGCCACACTATTGTTATTGTTTTTCATATTTTAGAGCCATGTTTTTCTGTATCTATCCAAAGTATACATTTCTGTCCGAGAAGCCGCCTATAGACAGTGCATCTGGTCTAAATGTAACTCAGCAAACTGTTTCCACATCCAATAAGAAAATAAATGAATGTCTCCTTTCATGACCTATATCAGGGACATCAAACCAGTCTTCAAAGGGCTAGTGTGGCTGCAGGTTTTCATTCCAACAAGATTGGCACTCTCGCTTCTCAGAAAGAAGGTCCCAGGAATCCCAGATGGAACAGGGCCTTTCTGAGTGGAGTTTGCATGTTTTTTCCGTGTCTGTGTAGATTATCCCTACCACTAAAAATATGCACAATACGTAAATCCGGTCCTAGCCGAGCATCTACATCTGGAGATGGGTTTTCCAGAAGCTGTACTACGGCGACCACTGCTTCTGACAGACGCCCTAGTAGCATCAGGATGGGTCAAATGCAGAGAACAAAGTTCCCTACG